GATTAGCCTATTGAGGCTTAGAAGGGCCCCCGCGCACGGCCAGTGAGCTTATGGAGGCTTATAGGGGTGCCTATTGAGGCTTCCAGGTGGTGTCTTAAGCAGGTCTATTGAAGCTTAACAGTGAGCTCATTGAGGCACAGGGATTTCCTGGATCGAATCTTCCTTAACTGGCTGTGGCTTCAACGTCCTCATTCATCAAGCCCCAAACCCTGATGAGCTTTTAATGTAAAGCCCGAAACCCTGAGTCTTCAGACTCATGCATTCTCATGGCTGGCGAGCGTGCTTGCTGCTGACTAGACCCCTTGGAGTTGGGTTTGGAAGGGTTTGGGGGGATCGTTTCGAAATTGTGACTTGGACCGTTTCGGGAAACCTTTCGGCGACCTTCGGCAGGGCTGCGGGTTGCCTTTGTAGAAATCTCAGCCGACTATAATCAAGAGCACTTGATCGCCGCAAAGGCTTTATTACCTTCAACACTACCGATTCGCCCTAATACTCCTCAAGTATTGGCCTACATCGCAGTGCCGATGAAGTGCTCTGGAAAAATTTCGACGAAAGCAACCCGCAGCCTGGCCGAAGGTCCCCCCCGAAAGGTTTCCCGAAGTGGTCCCAGTCCCAGTCTGGAAACAATCCCAAACCCTTCCAAACCCGCCTCCAAGTGGTCTAGTCAGCGCCACGAGAATTCATGAGTCTGAGACTCACGAGAAACAGCATAGCTTGTGATGAAAAGCTGCATGCAAGGTGTGTTTGGATTGGGGATTGGAGATTCGGCGTTGTCCAGGCTGCAGGGATTACGGGTTATTACGTTCCGGTTTCGCGGTGATACCGGTCGTTCCCATTACAAGCATTGTGGAATACAGACTAAGGGAACTACGGCACTACGGAAAAGGATTGTTGACGCACAGGCCATCTCTGTGTAACTCATTGAGGCGACGACGGTCGGTATCAAACAAAACTAGCACTCACCCACCCGTTAACAAAAAATAGCAGCCAATACGGTCTATTAGACACCCCACTCGATAACACAAATTAGCCTTCGATAGCCCGCTTTCGATAAACAGAATTAGCGTTCGATGGGGAAAAAGACGTCTCAATAGAGACACAATAGGCCTCAGAGCTTCCAAGAGGCCCTATCGAAGAGACAATAGCACTCGGCTAGAAGCCCCCACCGGCAGGCGCGACACATACGGCATTTCCAAACCCCCAGATGGCCTTAATTATGTATGTGTGCGTGTGTGTGTGTGTGTGTTTGTTTGTGTTTGTGTGTGTGTGTGTGTGCGTGCGTGTTTTTTTTGGGGAAGTGGGCGCAGCTCGCAAAACACGACTGGTATAGTGAGAGTAGTCAGAAGACAAACACCTCTTACCTTACAGAGGTAACTCGCATATAATAAGGAATGCCACTGCCTGTCCGGTCTGTGGCGTTGCTTATGGCAGTTTGCATGCAGCTCGCACACACGTAGGCAAATCACACCCGGAGTACAGTCAGGCCCAAACCAAGGGCAGCCATGCAGATATGTAAATCGAGCATGAACAATGCTTTTATGCGTAATGCGGTAGATGGTCGACCGAAGTGCAAGCACTGCTCCAAGCAGTTTTCGGCATTGGGGGCCTTGATGGGGCATGTTCACCAGACTGCTTGTCACATTTTGCATGCCCCTCCAATTGCTGCAAATAGCAAGGATCACGCAACTGCTGCTGAAGGGGTGTTCGCACCGCGGGGTGGCTCGTCCTTGCCATCACCGCCTGCAAGCTTTACCCCTGACTCTGTAGTAAGGGACATCATTCCGCTTTTTGAAAGGCAGGCGGTGCAAACTGCTGCGAAAGCTGGACGTGTGTCACAGCTGGCCGCCTCAATCAGACCTGAAATCAACGGAGGTTACTGCCGCTACAAATGCTCGAGCAGCATGTATGTTGCAAGGCACGCGTGCAAACAGCACCTTCAGATTGCAAACTGACGATCTGATTCACCGATGGGCCCAAGATTGGCGGGTGGTGAGTCAACCGTGCAACTGGTGCTCGTTGCCATTCAAGCATGCACAGAAGGCACATCAGCGTGCATGTCCTGCTCTTTGGGCTTGTGGCCATTTCCTTGATATCTTTGCCTCCCTGCAAGCCGCAGGACCGACCGACCTTCGACAACATGTCCTCACAAGAGGAGCAGGAAATACCCCCAGTTCGAGAGTTACGTCAAGCCCAAGGCCGGACTGGTTGCTTGTGAGGCTCCTCCAGTTCCGGAGTCACCCCTTCTGTCAATTGCAACATTGATGGAGGGATCAAGGGATTCACGCGAGATGGACGCCGCGGAGAAGGACAAGAGGGCGGAAGCTTCGGTGCATCCCAGCGAGGGCCTCACTCCAAATGGCAGGAAAGGGCGAAGGCAGCAAGGTTGCAGCCAAGGAGACTCCGTCCGCAGAGCTGGCCAGACGCAACCCGAGGTTCCCAAGTCACAGACACGAATGGGGCGCTCCTTCCAGAAAAGGCGGGAATCGGCCCTGGTGACACAGGACAGTGAACTCGATAACAAGAAGGAACGCGAGCTCCACGAGTTTGATGAAGGAGCTGGTTCGGCTAGTGCTCAGACAGGCGGACACCGTTGCCTACCTCCAGATGGATGTGGGTTCATGGTCTTCTTGAAGACGTCAATGTAGCCAAGACTGCTCGAGGAGGTCTCGGACACGGCACAACCGCACCAGTGGGCCATAGTCTAGAATATCTTTCAAGCCTAAATGCCACCCTGCGCACAACTTTGATGTTTTTGCATGATCGGTGCCCTCCTGGAGCGCGTGGAAGCGTTGAAGACAACCCAGCGGATGTCCAAAGGCTGGAAAAGCTGGACCTAGTGGAGGAAGGCAAATGAAGGCAAGTTCCTCTATCTCCGCTGGAACCAGGAGGAGAGAAAGCATGAAAAGTCTCGACAGGACCTTTTCTCGATTGCTCGGGTGTGTGTGCCTTCCTGACCCAGATGCAGCAAAACTTGCTCTTTCCCAAGGTCGTGCTGAGGTTAAGGCTCTCAGCCAGCATGACCGCCGACATCGTGCCCTTCACCCTCGAGATCCACAATCGATGTCAGGAAAGCCAGACCTTGTCTCTGGCGATGGAAAGACTTAGCTTCTGCTCGGTGTGGCACTTGATAGGAGGAACTTTGTGCGACCCACAAAGTTGGGGGCCAAAAAGCTGTGAATCTTGTGGAGGCCTGTGCCTCTCAGGCTGATTTTGATCCCGTGCCTCTACATGCTGCGCTCCGTCTTGCACTGCAAAAAGTGTTGACAAGCACAGGCGCGACAGTTCACTTATGGGGCATTTCAGAGTGGCGACGAGCTGCTTTGAATTGGCCAGCACAGGCCCAGCAGGATGCCGCAGAATTTTTGCATTTCATCGGTCAGAAACTCATCCCACAGCCACACGCAGGAGCCGAGGAAGCAAGAGCACACGTCACCGAACTTGGCCTCCCGTCCGAGGTTGTCGATGCCGGAAGCATGCAACCCTTGCCTTTGACAGCAAACGTGGCAGCAGCTGTCTCCTCAGGAGACCTTACCTGGCAAGCACAGCCGTGCACGGACAGGCTCAGCCGCTGAGGGCCTGCCGACGCGTCTCTTGCTGCAACTAGCCCGCTTTGACGATCGAGGTCGTAAGCGCCCTGGCCTTATACACTCCCGCTATAGGATAAGGTTCCCGCACTTCACCCAAGGTACGTGCCAAGTAAAGTGGACCCGCTATAGGACCCGGGCAACGTGCACAAGTGGACATTACTGTGCTGCCCGAGCCTGCGGCTCCAGCATCCAGTATCTCACAGATCATGGACAGGCAGCTCAGCAGGCCACACAAGCTACTGCCCAAACAGCTTTTAGAAGCTTAGACATTTTTCTCATCAAAGATGACGAAGCGATTCTGGATGAGTAGCGCTTTCAAAACATTCCACTTTCAAAGCTTTGTTTCCCAGCATTCCTTTTGCAAATCTTTGCTTGTTGTGCTTTGCAGTATCCTATCCTTCCCGGTCATCGTATTCGTATGCTTCTCCCTGCCCAAAGGCCCTTGGGGGCGGGGGAGATAGCATCCAAGGGTGGAGTGTGATAGTCTAGGCTTGGAGGCTGGAAGAGCGTGTTGAAAGGCGCCGGCGGCTGATCTGCCGTTCCGAAGATTTCCGAAGACGCAACACGGACTCTTTCTGCTGCGGCTGAAGAAGATTATCATCGTCGCCGTTGCACGGAGCATCAATCAGCACCCTCATTATTCACATCACCCCAAGGCTGCTGCTACAATCGTCACAGTCCTTCGTCACCCAAAGCCTTGTAAATGCCCGGCGAGAACTTATAAACCCCCGTAAAACCGTTCAGAATGCCCTATACAATCTTAAAGAACCGTTAAGACAGCCTTTTGTAAAGCAAGGTAAACCGTACAGAATTTCGATTGCCTTTTTTGGGGCAAATAATTGGTCAGTTGTATCAAAGATCAATTTTCTGGTTGTGGTATGTGGTGTCTGGTTGTGGTACCGGGTTCCGGTTGTGGCAAGGGCTGTTGCGGCTATTTCCTCTCCCCCCCCCAACTCTGCTCTATTGGCGCGGTCTCGATGACCCTGTGTCCGAGCTTGTGGGTAGGGGGAGCTGTGGGGTTCAGCAGATAGGGTTTTCAGGCATCTGGCTCGACAGCTTTGACAAGCCTGGCAATACGAAGCCGGTGAAGGCTTCAACCGCAAACCGCAAAACTTTGTTGAGCTTCAGGCTATACGGCTACGTGCCTGTGCGCGAACCAACACCCCTTCCGGACCCTCCAGCTGGCAGAGGGCGCAGGTATCCTGTAATTCCTGCACACAACCAGCATCAAAAACAGTTTGGTGGTGGGAACTCTGTGTGGATCGTAGCGATGTGGGAACCGTCCTCGCTCAAAAGAGCTGAAAAAAGTCCACGAAAACAGCGGTTGTGTTGATGCTTTCCAATGTCTAGTCTAGTCGCGCTGCCATCCAGAGTTTCCCGTGTTGTGCCGGGTTGACCGGTCTGTCCTGCAAGGAAGGCAAGCTACAGCAAGCACGGCGGATTGCACCGGAATGGGCGCAATATGACGATGAGCTGCAAAGCATCCTAGACAAGCTAGATCTCTGAGCTCCTGCAGCTGCAGTGAGGGTGAAACTTGTCAGTTTCATTTTACAAAGTGAGGCTCTGAGGTCTGTGCGTGCGGAGGTTTGCGCTTCCTTTGCCGAATCGATCTCTGCGAGCACCCGGAGCCTCGGAAGCACGGCGACAATGGCAACTTCGACACCGAGAAGGTACGAAAGAGCACGCGGAAAGCTCTTGCCTCGACGGCTTCGCAAGTTCTGACCCGTGGCCATGGCGAAAAACAGAGCCTGTGTTTCACAGAAGCTTGGCCACGCGTTGCCACGACCCCTCATGGTGAGATTGCACGTGCGGAGTGCCAGAGATCTGTCGCAGGCTCCACAGCCGAACCTGGAAGCCGAGGAGCTCTGCTGGGAGGCTGACGGGACGGCGCCTTGGCTTCCAGTGAAAACGGTTTACATAGGATTACCCGTTTCCCTTTTTGTGAGCGTCGTGATGTGCCGCCAGGTCCTCATTTAGCCGACTCCGGAACCCTGAGCCGCGGATCTTCCGAGCTCGTGGATCTACTGTACATAGGCCCACCTTCGATTTAAGATACCGCTCATGAAGCTGAAAAGCGCGTCGAGCCGAAAGGCCAAAGCACAACTACTGTCATTCGCACACTTTTTGGCTGCACGTTGCTTAGGCAAGACCTGGACGCGAGAGTCAGCAGAACCGAGAGCGCGAGGCAAGGCTTTCCCATCCCCACAGCCGCTCTAGTGCTTGAATTGCAGCAATGAGAGAAGCTCCTAGAATCAACAGTATTGTCGCGCAAGTGTGCCACAACCACGGCACAGGTTTAGTTGTTGGAGTTTCAGACTTTGTCACCAAGCCTGTGTGAGCCTTCGATGCTGCGATGCTGCGATGCTTCATAAAGCAGCCCATTAGGATTTGGACCCGAGTGTCGAAACCTGCAGCTCTTCGTCGCATCAGGGGCTTGACGGAACGAAGATAGGATGGGCCGGTGGAGATACGGCCTTGGCCCCAGGAAGAACCCGAAGAAGTTGGTAGACATATGCACAGGATTTGCAAGATGTAGCTCAGGCCGTTGTCGTATCACTTCGTCTCTCGGAATTTGCAATGTGTGTTTCAGTCTCCACAAGGTTGAGAAGGTGAAGTCACTCCCGGCGAAGATGCACGAGAATCAATTCGGCTTGCCAGGCTTTCTGCAGGGTCTTGCCATTGCGGCATCGAAGCCTGACTTCTGCCAAGGTACCACGCCGTAAGGAGCTGCCAAGGCCTGGGCCAATGACTTGTGCTACGTCCTCTGGATCTCTGAACAGAGAGAGCTTCTTGCAGGCTCACCGCCTCGACATCTTTTCAATGCTGAGACCCCCAAAGGCATCGCCCGGAACCCGAGTTGCCCGACGCGGCTGACACCCGTCCAGGGGCTTCTGCAGCCTGACTTCTTTATGGGTATTGTCTTATCGGAACCCACGGCATGCTTATCATCCGGCATACCGCTTGAGCAGAGAGAAGCAGCACTCAGTTTCTCTACACAGCCAGGTCACGCAATTCCACCGGAAGGTGAGGTTGCTGGATGTCTAGCAGACACCTACTCGCCAGCGCGGAGTAGTGCGGAGCAACACTCTGCAGCGAGCTGCTGATCAGGATCAGGACTCTGAACAGGTTGCATTCTGCAAACCCTTCCCGTGTATCTGAAATCATCCTGTTCATGGAACTTGCTGCAAATCAGAGCTGCAGCGTCTTCTGTGTGTGGCGTGCCGCACTCCCACCAATGTTGTTCGGTGCCGATGGCATGCACATAGAACATGGCGCTCGACCACGGGTGCAACAACCCGTCACGCCTTAGCTACCAGTATGCCGCGCCTGGAAACTGAAGCGCCGTATCACAGTGAGACGGAGCAGAGTACAGCAACCTCCAAGCATTCCGACTGAGAAGCGCAAGCGCCACCTAAAAGCCCTGTTGTGCAGCATTTGGCTACAGCCTCTCCAGAGCCGTGGCTCCGCACGGTGGCCCAAGAAGGATGCCCGTCGGAGTTCTTGCGTGAAGCCCAGCGACCTCAGCCTTCACGACCTTGACTCTACAGCCCGCTCCTGGGAGAGGTACGATGGAACAACGAGAAGGGCCCGTTGACCCAGGAGATCCGGCTCAGGCTGCTTTTCCTATACTCTTCATGTACCGAGGTTTCGGCTTCATCCAACCGGTCCAACCAGCAGCTGACAACGAGGACTGTTGCGCAATCCTTAACAGAAGCGTTTGCTGCAATCACTCAGGAATCATGAATCTAGCTGACGACGGCAACGTTAGCCCCATGACATTCTTAAGTGTCTTCATCGAGTTCTCTGTCTCGCAGGACGTCTTCTGCCATGTGTCGGACCTCCAAGAGGGAGAGGGCAGCGTGGTGGAGGCAACAACAGGGCAGATCAATGCAGCTGATGCAGTATCCAACGAATCCTCTGAGTCATCATGAGTCATCATGTATGTTCAGCCGACTTGCATTGGAGGCATATTCACCCGGCCAGTGTAGTCGGTTGTCATGTGCACGGCACACGGGTGCAGCGTTGACGACTCTGCATTGGTTGTCAAGCACTGCCCGACATGTGTTCCGGAAATTACACTAAGGGGTTCGCTGTGCAATAGCCAGGGGTGCTGTTTCGGACCAACTTTCAACGAACCCTGCCGTCGAAGTCATTCTCATAAAGGATTTTTTTTGTTTGTAGTACTGTTTGCTGCTGCTGCAACAAGACCCGCGCGATGCGCTCTTTTCCTGCGATTTGCAAGTTTGCGTTGGCTCGGAATTTGGAGGAAGGCAGAGGGCCGAATGTGAACCACAGTGCAGAAGGCCGTGCAGGAGTGCTAGGAAGGCCGTGCCTAGCCTGGACAGGGAGACACCGTGCTGTACACTGAGAAATGGGACGATCGCAAGGCTGAGACCTTTCATACTTTGCTTGAGCGCCGTGACAGCTGGTTCACAGTGCGCGGAGGGCAAATATCGCGCCTCCGAAGTGGAGCTCAGTGCGCCGGGGGAGCTCTCAGAGATCAGTGCTGCCGCGAAGAGGCTTGCATTTTGGACAGGTTAGGGCCGCTACAGCCGTGGCTAGTGGTCAGGAGAAGACCTCCTGGAGGCGGGCGCGACAGAAGCCGGGAGAGAAGTCGCCAGAGCCTCAAGCTGGTACAACCAAGGTTTGGCTTTTTGATGTTCTTGCTAACGGGTCGAAAACTGTCC